TGGATATTACTGATCTTTAATATACTGTAAGATGTTATAATACCAGGGCTTTCCATCTTCTTCTCCCTCTATATTAGAGCAATAAGCTGGTATATTCTTAACATCTAACTTGATGGGCTGAATATCGGTATTATTATTAATTCGAATTATCACAGCCAGAGTAGCCAATGTGTCAGTAATCAAATTTTCTTCTCGAGGTAAGTGATCAAACTGGATATCTTCAAATTGTTTCACCAACTCTAGAATATACTTATGATATGGAACAAGTTTTGAATCTCTCATCTCTCATTCTCTTTTCAACTGATATATAACTAGAGTCGAATCTCCAAACACTTTTAGTACCTTCACTCTTCTATCTATAGCAGCTTGCAAGCCCATGACACATGACTCATATTCAGCGATGTTATTTGTGTAATTAAAATTTAACCTCGCTGTTACAGGATATTATCGTTCTTCTGGAGAAATCAGAATCGCCCTAATTTCATGCCCCAAGGCATTAGCAGCTCCATCAAAGTACATTCTCCAATATTTTTCCACATGTTCTTCTTTTTTTAGTTGGAAAATAGTCATTAAGTCTTCATCAGGGAATTCTAACTTCATTGGCTCATACTTTTCAGTAGCACGATCTGTAAAAAATTCTACTATAGCGCCCCTTTTATTGCTTTTTGGCTCACATATATAATATCATATTTCGAGAACATTACTTGCCATTTAGCAATTCTTCCAGACATAGAAGGCTTCTCGAATATATACTTAATGGGATCCAGTTTCGTTATGAGCCACGTAGTGTGATAGAGCATATACTGTCTGAGTCTTTTGGCAGTCCACGCTAATGCACAACACATTTTCTCCAATAAAGAATACTTGGATTCATATTCTGTGAACTTTTTACTCAGATAGTAAATAGCTCTCTCCTTTCGACTAGCCTCATCTTGCTGCCCCAGCACACATCCTATTGAATTTTCACATACAGTTAAGTATAAGATTAAAGGTTTCCTTG